CATGTTTGATCAGTTTCAGATTAAAGAAGTTGGTAGAATTCTTTAATTTCATCCTCACTGGCTTCAGTGGCTGGCGTGTAAATTTGAATAACAGTGGTATATTAATTGGTCTTCCTTATAGGCATGGGTATTATCCTATCACAGACTGCGTTGTACCTTGTGACAGATCTTGACAATGACTGCAACACCATTCCTCTTCAAATTGTCATTTCTGGCATAGTAAACCATGTGGTTGTCAGATTCAGAATGGCCAATACCAGTCCATTTCAGCTCACTAATGCCTAAGATATCGATGTCGATGCGTTCCATTTCATTTTTGACAACTTCCAATTTTCCTAGATTCATACTTCGTACATTCCATGTTCCAATTATTAATGGATGTTTACAGCTGTTTCTCTTCATTTTGAGTTGTGCCCCATCAGCAAATGAAAGTCCTGAGGGCTTTATTCTCCAGGGCATTACTCCATTTGCCTCATCATGGTCCTCTCTAGTTTGAGGAGGCAGCTCTTCTTCCCCAGTCGCATTTTGAGTGCCTTCTAACGGGAGGGGCTCATTTTCCGCTACTATATCTGACAGTGTTTCTCTGCTATTCATAAGGTTTTCACTGAACAAAATGTGCAAAGATCTGGAGTTAGAAAACCAAAGGGGAAGAACACGCTTAGCATTTCTTAAGCAAAGGGAACTGAAGAGAAAATTCAAGCCTTCACTTACATTATTGAAGGATTCACTGAGCAAATTATTGAATGATGCAGAAAGCATAAAAAGTAGATGGAAGGAATACACAGAGTCACATTACCAAAAGGACCCTTGCTGAAGCTGGTTTCAATGTCTGTGTGGACCACAGGGCAGCTGGGGGCAGGGTGACTGGTTAAATGCTGGTGTGGAGGTTTTGCTGGTTTTGTAGGTGGAGCTGAGCCCATCTAAATCTGGGTACCAAGGTGGCACACCAAAGTGGAGCATCTGGCTCTCATCTCAAACTGGTGTGACCCCCAGCTCCTTGGCTCCTAATCACATAGCTCCAAACTCCCGGAAACAGGATCTGCTCTGGAGGTGGATGACGATGGGAGCTGGCCATACTTCTGGTCACCAGGGGAGCGTGGGGAAAAAGAAGAAATTGCACCTTTTCCATTGTCTGCCTGAATCTGCTCTGCCAAACCTCCCTCTGCTGTTAAATCTGCTCACAAGACGGTCAAGCTCTGTATCTGGCCATCTGTTCACCAGTCAGCCTCCCTCTCACCAGTCCTACTCAGCCTCTTCTCCCAGCAAGCACTCCATCCACCTCCCTAACTTTTCTTCTGACGTTCAGGGTGCTAAAATTTTCATCTGTGTCTGTTTCATTTTGTTTCCTGAGTTCTCATAGCTTAGTGAAAGGTCAGCAGTCCAAATCTATCAGCTGCTCTGTGGGAGAAAGATGAGGTTTTCTGCTCTTGTAAAGATTTACAGCCTTGGAAACCCTGTACAGGGTCGCTATGAGTCGGAACCGACTTGACAGCACTGATTTGACGGCATACGGTTACCACCGCCATCCCACATATAGTGCATCTGCCTAGTTCACTATCTTGCTGGAAATGAGATTCATGCTTAATTTTGAGAACTACTTTTAATTTTTTAAAAAAATTGTTGTCGTTGCTAAGTGCCATCAAATCGGTTCCAACCCATACCTACCCAGTATAGGGTTTCCGAGGAGCAACTGGTGAGCTTGAACCACCAGCCTTGCAGCTTAAGCCGACCTTACAGTCCAGTGCATTAACCAGCAGCACTACATCAGGACTCCTTTTATTGACTGATTTATTTTAAATACAGGACAATTAATATAATTCAACTCGTGGATATGAGATCAGTGTTGGAAATGGTAATGAGCATAATGTCATCAGTGGCATATTATAAAAATGCTTCCAAGAGTAGTTGAAATGACTTTTTTTTTTCTAATTAATACTAAGGAGTGACAATGAGTAACTTAAAGTGGTTTAAATTGTAAGACTTTTCTCCTTATACCCTGTAATATATACTCATTTATGTCAACATAATGTTTTTGAATTTTGCTTAATGTATATTTGTATTTGTGCAAGAACATTCGGTAATCACTCGTAGCAGCATCATTTGAGAATACTTGAATGCTTTTAATGTGTCCAGTGTTATCTTTTAAAGTACTATATTAAAAAGTACCTGTATATATGTATGAAAGGAGCCCTTGTAGTACAGTGGTTTAAGCATTGGGCGGCTAACAGTAAGGTTGGCAGTTTAAACCCAGGAGCCACTCTACAGGAAAAACACAAAGCAGTCTGCTCCTTTAAAGAATTGTACCCCTGAACCGTTCTACAGTGTCCTATAGGGTCATAAATAAACTCTATGACAGTGCTTGTTTGATTGATCTGTATGTATAGCATTGTTGTTGTTGAATGCCGTGGAGTCAGTTCTGACTCATAGTGACCCTATATAGGGTTTCTGAGGCTGTAAATCTTTATGAGAGCAGAAAGCCTCATCTTTCTCCCGTGGAGCAGCCTGTAGTTTTGAAATGCTGACCTTGCGGTTCACAGCCCGATTCGTAACCACTACGCTACCAGAGCTCCTTATAGCATATATCCTATAAAAAGGATGAAAATGGTCATTCTTTTCCTGTTCCTCAGTTCTCCATAGAATCAACTACTTAAAAAACAAAACAAAAGACAGGTTCTTCTATGCCCTTTTTGAGAAGTATACGTTTGTTTTTGTTAGTTGCTAAGGAGTTGGTACCAACTTATAGTGACCATATGCAGAACAGAATGAAACACTGCCCAGTCCTGCGCCAACCCACTTCTGCTGTTACTGTGCCAATCCATCTAGTTGGCGGTCTTCCTCTTTTTTCCATGCACCTTAGCAAACATGATGTCCTTCTCCAGGGACTGGTCCCTCCTGACAATATGTCCAAAGTATGAGAGACGAAGTTTGACCATTCAAGTTTCCAAGGAGCAGTCTGGCTGCACTTATTTAATACAGATATGTCTGTTCTTTTGGCAGTCCGTGCTACTTTTAATATTCTCCTCCAACATCGTAACTCAAATGCATCATTCTTTCTATGGTCTTCCATATTCACTGTCCAACTTTCACATGAATATGAGGTTATTGAAAATACCATCGCTTGGGTCAGGTGCACTTTAGTCCTCAAACTGACATCTTTGCTCTTCAACACTTTAAAAGAGGTCTTGTGCAGCAGATTTGCCTAATACAATATGTCCTTAAATTGGACTGCTTCTTCCATGAGTGTTAATGGTTGATCTGAGCAACAGAAGTCTTTGACAACTTCAGTCTTTTTTCCATCTATCATGATGTTATTTATTGGTCCAGTGGTGAGGATTTTTGTTTCCTTTGCATTAAGTGAACCTCATACTGAAGGTTGTGGTTTTGATCTTCATCAGTAAGTACTTTAAGTCCTCGTCCCTTTCAGCAAGCAAGGTTGTATCATCTGCATATTGCAGGTTGTAAATGAGTCTTCCTCCAATCTGAATGCCACGTTTTTCTTCATATAATCCAGCTTCTCTGATTATTGCTCCGCATACAGATTGAATAAATGTGGTGAAGGAATACAATCTTGGCACACACCTTTCATAATTTTAAACCATTTGGTGTTGCCTTGTTCTGTTCGAACAACAGCCTTTTGGTCTGTGTATATATTTATCACCTTTTTCTTTGGGTTTTTGTTTCTAGTTTCTTTATGCAGATAGCTTTCTGTTTACTTATTGTATGTCGCAGCCTTTTTCCTCCACTTAGTACGTTTCTTAAGGATTGTTTTATTTCAGCTCATGAATTTTACTTTATTTTTTCAATTGCTAGATTTGACTGTTAGGTAAATATATCATGATTCTGAATGAATTTAATTAGCATATGTGCAATTATGTTTAAAATAAGGGGGAAAAAACCCTTACACCTCATCTTTTATAAACGATTGTTGCATTAAGTAGTTTTATACTTGTTGTTGTTGTTGTT